AACATGACTTTGGCCGTTTGTCAAGTGTCACTGACATGTTGACTTCCCTTCAATGGAGGCGCCTTGACCTTCGGCGTATTGACCAACGCCTGGTCATGTTTCACAACATCCTGCATGACCAGGTGGCTATTCCTTTCCCAAAGTACATCGTCCCTCTTACAAGATCATCTAGAACATCCCATCTCCATGCATTCCAACAAGTCCAAACTAAAACTGATTACTATAAATATTCATTTTTCCCAAGAACAATTGTCCACTGGAATGCTTTACCACCTGAAATCATAAACTTGTCTGGCCCCGAGTTCAGTCTGGCTGTAAGCCGGATTGAACATACGTCTCCCTAAAATACCTTTTCTGTTTTTAACCTGTTTTTAACAATATACTCATTTCCTTTACTTTCATATTCTTTTATTTCAGCTCTTTTACTAACATTCTTGTCAGTTGACGCGCGTCAAGTCTAGGTCCCCAGCAGGGGTTTGACTATATGGAAGATAGATAGATAGAGATAGATAGATGTTACACATCAATATTCGGCTCGTCACACAAATCATGGAAATTCCATCATATTCTAAACATAGAATAACCCTTAGTTATGAGGCCTCATATGGGGTACAGAAATTATCCATTATTTTGTATGAAGAGAAGTAGTTCCCGTACATAAAATTTAACCCATTAAAATTATACAATTTTATTATATCGGACCTATTTTTCATTTATAATTGTTGAACAGACCATTTTCTAAGAGATAAATAGATGTAATTCAGGAAATAGAAAGTAGACTAAACGCGTGTATCTATTACCCGGTACCGTTACCCCCAACGCATTCACATGCGATGGCATGCTCAAGTATGCATGATATTTTACGCATCAAAGCCATAAAATTATTTTACATAGTAATATTGGTCAAAATTCTGATAATTAAACAAGTTTTCACCACATTGCCTTCTTATCTGTAAACAGGTGGTATTAGTGGAAAACCCTTTAACATGCCTCACGTGTAAGTATGTTTGCGCATGCGCAAGGACGGAATCCCCCAGATAAAACAAGGTCACGTTTTGATAACGCACAGGTGAAAGTGATTTAAAATGAGACTTTTTATACGTACTGCCGAACTGACACTTAGATTTTGTCTCGTTTATGTATCTGCTTGATTTGAAATGAATTTTTGAAGAATGCATGTAAAAATCAAGCGTTTAAATGAAAAATACGGGTACTGCTTCTGTACGGGAACTGCTCGCATGCCAGTATAGTAATGAGTTTTTTTGTTGTTTTTTGGTTTCATTTTACGCCTTTTCCCAACAGTTTTTCAGTCATATAGGCGGGTAGTTTCCTAACCATCGTTCCTAGCTGGAGAGTTACACCAGTACTAGACTACCTTCCTCTGCGCTAAACTACCAAAGCATCTCCCGGGGATCGAACCCACGCCAGAGGTAGTTGGATTAGAAGTCATCGACTCTAATCCCTTGACCACGGAGGCGGTCGAATTGTAATGAGTGCTTATTATAAACACGTGCTTAATATTAATAATATTTATGTATTGTCCAGGTCTTGAAAGCAAATATAACTGGCAAGACGAACTTGTTTGGTATGAGGTAAAACACAACACTTAGGTTGAATGAAATAGGGCATTTATTAAATGCCATAAATGACAAATGTTACATAATAACAAACATGACAAATGTTACATAATAACAAACATGGCATGTACATATTTGTATCGAAATAACCAAACTGAGAGGTAAAAACCGCATAATAACAAACAGTTCCAAAGGCCGGCACAACTGTTTCCTGACTGATGATGTCTTAAACTTTCAAAGCGTGTACCGTTGGTCCAGTTATCCCAAAAAAGTTGCATTTCTACAAAAATATGTCTGTGAAGATTAAATCCATATCGTGGATTACAATCGTTCTTTCTAAATTCCCGAGTCTTGAATGACCAAACAGGTGAAATTTAATAACGAATGTAGAAATGTTCATTTGATAATAAATTATTGTATCCTGTTACGATATGCCCGTGTTGCCGTGAAATGAATTGCCATTTTCGTCACGAAATTGAATATGAAACCGGGGACACCGTCCCTAAAATTCGCTTCCAGCAGATTAATAAGATAACTGTTCATAGTAATACGTAATTAGTTAATTCACTTTAAATAAAGCTTATGACTTCAAAAATAGATAAATTTTAGTAATACAGCAAGGCGAGAATCATTCCTCGCCAAAATTATTTCTTTGTGATAGATCTAATGTAATCATTGGTTAATTAACATCACATGATTTAAGTCTTGATATCGATTGGCTAAGACGTACTTGGCTAAAACCTGACCCGTAATGGCTAAAACCTGACCCGTAATATTCTGTACAGTAATGAGAATAGGGACAGAACAATGACATAAATTATTTTATGTGGGCATAAAATCTTATATATATAATAAATATATATGTAATTGGGGTGGGCCTGGGAGCGGTGTTCCCTCCCATAGACCGAGAAAATTTCGAAAAATGAGGTTGAAAATGGTGTTTCCTTGACTTTCTAGTGCTGTTTATGGTACATTTTGGATGGTTTTACAAAACACTGTATTTTGTATAGGTTAGTGTTTACAGGCCAGGGTCTTTCAAAAAGAATTCCCCCTGGTGTTTATAGTGGTGAGTATTCAAAAAATAACAGCACACTAACCAATGTATGCACAACTGTTGTTAAAAATAAATTCAAACACTTGATCAACTTACTCATCTGTATAATAGACAATTTTCCAAAGTAAAGTGGTATTAAAATACTGCCTTCCTAATGTACAAACAAGAATAATTTCAAACACTAGTATTCAATTAGAATTTTTTCCATCAATGAATCCATTTTAGATACTAAAGAGGTCAGCACAATTTAAATTTTATTTAAAAATATAACTGCCATTAAAAGCATATAACCAATTATTTCACCTTAATAAAAATCTTAGTAAAAAGTTATTAAAACGCGATTCTTTTAATATTATCTTTATAAAACTTGCCATCTTTTTAATTTACAAATAATAATTTTCAATTTCTTAAATTTATTTTCTTAATTATAGGAAATGAAAAAACAATTAAAGATAGTAAAATATGATGTACGTACAATGTAACACATCTATTTGCCACTATCTGTGACTATTATTTTTTTTAGACCTTTGGAAAGTAATAAACCAATCAATTATGCAGTTTAAACATTGAAGTCATTGAAGCATGTTGATGGATAAAGATCTCTGCCAAGCCCCCAGGCAGGAGATTAACAACTGGATGACAGCAATAACTGTTTTGATAAGGGAGTACACTACAGCCAACGTATCTTTGGGCTGAGCTGGGGGGCTGCAGCCCTGAAGCCAGTCTGTGCGAAAGTCCGTCGGTCCTCGGTCATGGCTGAATAAAAATCATGCGGTCCGAGAAAAATTCCTTTCCGTCAGTCCTCATGTCAAAAAGTTAAAAATATCAATGACCTGATTGATAACAAGCTCCCGGTGATGCAAAGAATTTATTAAAGAAGATATTGACCAACCTTAGATCTATTTTGTACCTGTCAAATAAATACCAGTCAACTCTGTCTTCAAAAAGTTTCATCAGCAACGGTAAATTTTGCCGTAAATTACAGACTTGAAAATTTTGTTTTATGATGCCTGTTGAAATAGCCGATGAGTTACAATCTTAAAATAATCAAAAAATATGTAATCTAAATTAATCTAAATCAACAATAAGTAGAATTGTGAATGTTTCTGTAGGAAACAGGCAAATTTCCAATTGTCACATATTTTCGCGATGCCGCTTTTTATAATTAAAAAAAATCGTAACCAAAAGGAAACTTTGTTTTGTTAAAATGTGTGTAATAACACTTAAATGTAGTTTAAGAATTAAAATTACTAAAGATAGTGTTCACATTAGTTGAGATGGAGGTATTTACCAGTATGTGTTTGTCACATACAATGAATATTTTCTCGTTGGAGGGGGGTGTGTGGAGTGAATCTGGAAGAAAACAGCATAATGGTCTGATGATGTAGGGTTTTTGAAATTATATTTCAAATCTTTTCAATCAATTTTATGGTACAGTGTATTCCATTTGGGACATACTATCATTTTCCTGAATAATAAGCGTTTTCTCTGTTCAAACTCTGACTCTCTAACCCCTAGCTTACTCTGCTAATATACTGTATAATACATCATATTTGTCAACTGCATAAGTGCAGCAAAGATGGCTTAACATATTGAACGTGCTCTGTGCTCCTACTTTTCTGTGCTTGGGAGTCCAAGGACTCCTCCTTTGAAAATCCCAGTGAGAACCTTGCTTAAGTTATTTCAATTGGTCAGCATCTTCTTATGTTTCTATATTGATGGGTCTCACTTATTTAAAGAAAGACAATCATTTTTACTTTCAACCGAGTTATTATAAAATAATGCTTGAAATGTCTGGGCTGGAAATTTAAATATCATCCGGGCCGGAAATAAACCTAAGGGTCACGGTCCTTAATTGTGGCCTGAAAAAAAAATTGACTTTCGCATAGACTGTGAAGCCCAGGCCTGAATCCGCCACTGAATTATTACTGAGCAATACTGACGAACTTTATTTGCATTTATGCCATTGCTACGAATGTTTGAGTTTATGTTTCACAATCAATATATATGGATTAAATTTTAAATAATATCTTTATCTTCATTTATAATTTTCAACGGCTGAATATTGCAACATTGCTACAATCAACAATAACAGACCAGTAAGACTTTGGACATTCAATCAGGCATATGTTTATACATGTACAAATGTATGTACTAAATATACTGGCAGCAACAGATCCACGTTACTCGAATTTCATTTCTCTCAAAGTGAAATGCTCAGTCTTTTGAAAATGGAGTTACATGTACCAAGAGTCAACAGATCCATTTTGCTCAAAGAACATAATACATTTAACTCATGATTTGGGTGGAAAATAGGTGTATCTTTATAGATACATGTATTGTCCTTTAGCACACAAAAATTATGTTACATATTTTCAACATTTTATTTGCAAAATGGTTGTTACTTGAACTATATCAAATATTATGAACATTTTTCAAATACATGAAATACTCAACAGAAATTTTCTTGATATTATTTTTTTTATATCTGATATCAAATATTTTAGGAAGTTTTTTGATTGCCCTGTAAAGTTTTGCCAACTTGAATTACAACATTATATACTACAAAAATGAAAAGGTTTTCTCTCAAGTATGTATCCTCATGTATTGCTTTAGAATAGAAATTATAATTCGTCTGAATGTGCCATCACATACACCATCACAATTACACAGTAACATTGAAAAAGTGTTCTCTCCAGTATGTATCCTCATGTGGTTCTTTAGAACAGAAATTCGTCTGAATGTGCCATCACATACACTACATTAAAAACGGTTTCTCTCAGGTATGTACCCTAATGTGTTGCTTTAAAATAGACATTCGACTGAATGAGCCATTACATACACTACATTGAAAAGGTTTCTCTCCAGTATGTGTCTTCATGTGTTGCTTCAAGTTGCTCATACGGTTGAACGTACTATCACATTCACTACATTTAAAAAGTTTCTCTCCAGTATGTATCTTCATATGTTGCTTTAAATTGCCCATGCAGGTGAACATGCTCTCACATAAACTACATTTAAAAGGTTTCTCTCCAGTATGTGTCCTCATGTGTTGATTAAGAGTGCTTAAGTTGTTGAATGTGCCATCACATACACTACATTTAAAAGGCTTCTCTCCAGTATGTATCCTCAGGTGTTGATTCAAAGTACTCTTTCGGTTGAATGTTTCATCACATACACTACATTTAAAAGGTTTTTCTCCGGTATGTAGCCGCATGTGTTGAATCAGAGTGCTCATACGGTTAAATGCGCCATCACATATACTACATTTAAAATGTTTCTCTCCAGTATGTATAAACATGTGTTGCTTTAGTGTGGACATTTGTCTGAATGTGCCCTTACAGATTTTACATTCAAAAGGTTTCTCTCCAGTATGTATGCTCTTGTGTTGTTTCAAACTGCTTATGCGGTTGAATGTGTCATCACATACATTACATTTAAATAGTTTCTCACCAGTATGAATCCTCTTGTGTTGCTTAAAACTGCTCATGTGTTTGAATGTGCCCTCACAAACATCACATTTAAAACGGTCCTCACCGGTATGTATCCTCATGTGTTGCTTTAGAGTATATACATCACTGAATATGCCCTCACATGTATTACATGTAAAAGGTTTTTCTACAGTGTGTTTCCTTTTGTGTTGCTTCAAACTGCTTATGCAATTGAATGTGCCATCACATTCGATTTGTGTATCTTCAGTATGTTTACTCATGTTTTTCTTGAGATCAGTTGTATTTGTCACACCGCATATGTTATTTTTCAAATGTTTTACTTCAGTATGTATATCTTCATGTGTTGCTTTGGATTTGCTCTACAGTTGTAACATCACAGATATTACATTTATTATTATATAAAAAGTTTTTTCCCCAGGATGCATCATCATGTGTTGCTTAAGGCTGTCTCTATGGAATAATGTGCCAGTGCATTCATTACATTGGAAATATTTATTCAAGTGTGTTTCTCCATGTGTCATTTCAAATTGTGAATATGGTGGAATGTGCCATTGCAATAATTAAACCTACAACGATTTACTCCAGTATATAACCTCATGTGTGCTTCTGACAGTTCATGTGGCTGAATGTGCTATAACAGAAACTGTATTTTCTCCAGTCTGGATTCTTGTTTATCACTTTTTCTGGCATTTATGACTTTAGAAACTATTACACACACCCATAATGCTTGACTATTTATTATGGTGAACATACATGTATCATTATAAAATCAGTTGAACTGTTGTATTTTATCCTCTGATTACTTTTCGTTTTTGTCATTTCTCTCATTGTAAGCACATTTTCAACTCCTCATCTCCATTTTGTCAATTCCCATTAAGTATACAAATATTCCATCATTGGTACTGTATCACAAAAAAAATTGGGTATTTTCTTCATAAAATGCTTTTGCTCACTGTTTGGCATGTATTTTTCTGTCAACAAATTCTTCTTTCTTCAACTGTATCAAATCTTACATCTGACTTTGTACATGTAACAGCCTTTTTCATTCAGCAAAACTGTATCAGGAGTCAGCATTTCTATAAAAAAATAATTATAAATATATAATTTTGATATTATTTATATAATAATATAAACTTTTGAATCAGGTTTTATTAAATGGTTTTTATAACACTAAAATGCCTTTATAGTCTATATGTTTTCTTTCTATCAAATAGAGATGTTACTTGTTAGGCTATTTTAATATACAGAAAACCCACTTGGTAATGATACATAAGATAATATATTTTTTATATATACAGCAATGAAAAAACAGAGGGTCGTGACAGCTTTTATTTCCCTAATACCTGACTATAAATACTCCTAATGACAAGGCACAAGTAAATTACTGATATTGGTCATGAAAGTCATAATTGTTAAGCTGTCATTAATTTTGCAAAGATTAATATTGATCAATTATTATTGATCAATTAAGGTCATGTCTAACACCAAACTGATGTTAAATAATGGACACATACATTTGTATCATAGCAGTGATGACAAAAAATGGTCAGAAGGACATTCATAAACAGGACAACATATTTGTATAAACCAAACATGTACATGTATTTTACTGAAATCATTTAAACACTGGTATAAAAGTGAATTATATACAAACAAGATTGCATCTCTGAAAATTCTATGCCACACTAAATAAAGGGGTGCAAGTTAAAAATATAAGAAAACCTGAAAACCCATAATTTAGTATTATTTCAATTTGGTTTTATATAGAAAAAGAGAGCTTTTAAGAGAAGAAAAAAACCTGAACTTCATGCAAATACCTGGAAAATTGTACTCATGTAAATAGTAGTGTTGGAACAGAAGATTTTTTTCTGGTTTCTTTACAATATTATTGAACTTTGACACAATGCGGTTGAGTGACTTGAGTCTAGTGAATTTGGTGGTCAAGGTCACGATACAAGGGCTATAATTTTCACAATTTTTGTAGAGATTCACCAAACAATGTTTCACATCAAATCTAAACTTAAACCTCTTAAGTATAATAGAAGATATCAAGTAAGATTCTCCCGATCCAAATGATAACTGAAGTTTTTTGGTAAAAAAGAAATAAACTGCAGACTCTATTTCAATCACAATACTGTCAAATGATAACCAGAAAATGACCTTATGTTAAGGTATAAAACTTTACCAAAAGCGTATGATGAAATAATTCTGTAACAACAGCAGCATTCGGCTATGTTTTACAGTTATACACATTCTGTAAATAGAGGATATTAAATGAGTGTAGTTTAATACTAAATTATTGAACGAGTTGAATAAAATCATATTATGCGAGCCTCTGGCAAGCATTATAATATCGTTTTATTTAACGAGTTCAATAAATTTAGTATTGAATCTACACGAATATAATAATCTTTTTATCACATATATAAAATAAGAACAGTAAACTGTTAAAATGAGTAATTTTTCAATGATGCGCATATAGTGTAATGCTAACATTAGCGCGCTTTAACGCTATGTTTATATATAGCGCAAATGATGTCACATCAAAGTGTTATTACACTAGTGTAATATCATTTTTATTAGATGGCTTTATTATACTCCTGTGAGGCGGATAATGTGATAATGTCTTATACTTAGCCATGAGGTTAATACTTCAGCATGCGTTTAAAAGAATTGAAATGAAATATTAGTATTCAGGTTATGTTGAAGATTATACATGTATATCAAAAGAATGAAAAGTATTATAAGCATTATTTAATAATATGTAAATGAATAAAGCCAACTGTAAAGATATAGACTGGTAAATAGTAAATTCAAGACTTATGTTTGATTCCGTCAAAATGCAGGGTCAGAACATTTTATGGAGGGTGAATTAATTTGAAGGGACACTGCAGGGTAAATGACCCTGGAAAAATTCATCGAGGCCTGATAACAAAAGTTAGAAGAATGAAATCCGAATAATACCTTGAATATTGTAAGAAAGACATGTATGCCAATTGCATTATAGTTTATTCCATTTAATATTAGCATTAAGCAATGATGTACACACCATGACAAGTACAGGCCATTTTTTTCTCTATTTTGGGAAAACGTCACATGGCAAATTTGGGAAATAAGTGTCGTAAAATTTGCCATTTTGGGAAAATATGCTAGCATTGAAGGTGTTACACTTGTTAAAATAAATCTAAATAAAAAAATCTTACTTAAACTGTTCAGCTTTTTCTGTCATATCAAAAACACAAGGACAGGCTAAAATGTGTACAAATGTAAAACTTAAATATCAATTAAAAATCCTGTTTTTATTCACAAGACATGAATATATTTCGTAACGCTATTTCGCTACACCAAAATTGAAAATGCAGTACTTTTTCTTTCAAAATGCTGACTTCTAGATTGGGAATATTTGTTTGAAATTGAGAAAAAGAAACATAATTTGGATGGGGAATGGTGCCCATATTCGACCCATGGGATAGGGGAAAAAGGCCTGAATTAACATCCATCTGCTGCCTTAAGTGAATAAAAGACAATTACTCATATTTCCAAGGCAATTGAAAATTTTACATTTTACGTTTCAAAAGCAAAAAACAATTATAGTAACCTTGATCTGCACATACCGTTGCCGTTTTTGCGGCTCCGTAAAAATTGCATTGCACGGTTTTGCATATATTTTGATGTGACGTCATTTGTGTTATATAAACATAACCTTAAGACACACTTAATATTAGTGTTACACTATAGGTCAAAATGGTGCTTTCACTGCAAATGGTCTATATTTTTGGTATCTTATAAATCCAATATTAAATTTGTGTAAGTTCATCACTGAATTTATTAAACTTGTTGAATAAAAGAATATAATGCTCGCCATATAAAACAAGAGCTGTCACAGGAGACAGCGAACCTCGACTAATAAAATACTGGACGCAGTAAGGAGGACAAAACTATGAAAGAAAAATCAATTATGTATAATTATGTATTAAGTTATAGTAAAAAAAATAACATTTGTTTACATAAATTCCAAGATCAAGGGGAATAATTCTAGAAATAGTCATGCTAGAGTTATGAACCTAGTCCCACAACATGTGTGTAATGATAAGCAATATATATTTGAAGTTTGAAGTTGATACCTTAAAAAGTAAAGAAGTTATAATATTTCTTAAAGAAAATCCTAAGTTCAAAGAGAGATAAATCTGTAAATATTGCTTCAAGAGTTATGAACATTGTCACATAAAATGTAATTGATGATAAGGAATAAGTATTTGAATTTTGAGGCAGATACCTTAAAAACTAAAAAAGTTATAATAAAAAATAACATTTTTCTAGTAAAAAAATCTAAGTTTATGGGGAGATAATTCTAGCAATATTGGTGCTTAAGTTATGAACCTTGTCCATAAGATGTGGATGATGATAAGGTACATATATTTGAAGTATGAGGTTGATCCCTTAAGAAATAAAGAAGTAACATTCTTGCATAACAGACTGGCGTTTCCGTGAGTTTTACCCATGCCGGAAATTTCATCTGGCATGGGGGGTGCCAGATGAGTCGCGTGCCAAACAACAACGTCATTTTAGCGCCATTTATGAATGAACCGCGTTAAAATGACGTCGTTTTAGAAGGGAAATATGTCTTAGGATGACGTCATTTCGCCGTTGTAATTTAAGTTGTAAGTTCATACGCTATTGTGGATGAAATGACTTTAATTTCCATGAACATATATCATATTGAGGTAAACCATTTTAAATATGAAATAATATGGCAGAATATGCAAGAAAAAATATCTTTCATATGTTTGCGGTTCGGAATATCCATCCCTCGGGAACCCGCCCATGGGCGGGTCCCCTCGGGACGGATATTTCTGTCCGAACCGCAACATATGACAGATATTACTAGTAAAAAATAGTATTTTTTGAGGCAAATTCCAAGTTCAAGGGGAGATAAATCTGAAAATATTGGTGCTAGAATTATGAACCTTGTCACATAAGATGGGAATGATGATAAGGTACATATATTTGAAGTTATAGTGAAAAATATTTTACTGCACCAATATCGTGACAACCCTACCTTTATTATTTAGTTCATCTTTACTTTGCCTCAAAAGGTATGAAAACTAAAAGTAAAATGGTGAATAACTTATTTTGCTTTATATTTTAATAAAATAATTAGAGTGGTTGGACCAATGCTCGGCGCATACCAATGCTCGGTGTAAAAAATATTTTTTTTTAAATATCTGAAAATGTCTCGAGTTATCTCCGATTTAGGTCAATGGTGCATTTATTTACATCTTTCACCATTTTATCCTGGTGTGGTTCACTGCTAGATCTAGTAAAAGTCACGTGACAATGCAAATAGCAGACGAACAACCGTATGTTATCCCCAACATATAAATTATTAAAATCTTTTAACACTAGAGTTCTGGGGCTGTAAAATTTAAACTAAAAGTTGGGTACTTGTAAATGTATGAACCTAATTTGGTTGTTACAATTTATTCAATATGTTTTCTTCATAAGATAAAAAGAGATTTTATTCGAAAAACAGTCCTGCATCATGTAGTATTGAACGCCGAGCTATGGTACAATTTCACGCAAACCACTCTTGTTTATCCGGACTATCTGTAGCTCCAGCCATGCACATTATTATGTGATTAGCGAATTTTACACAATGGCTATTTAAAACAATATTATCGGTCTTGAAAATGGACATATAACATTGAGGTTTGTTGACGTGGATTTGAATTTGCCATATCAAATATAGTATTTTACGCCGAGCGTTGGTCCACCCACTCTAGATCTAAGCTTCCTCAGTCGTATATGTAACATATTGATAAGATACAATAAGGAAGTGAAAGTAAAACTTGAAGGTGCTTGAAGTCTAGGAGGCACTTAAGGCTGATTATGCCCAATAGACAATATCTTGGAATTCCGAAATTAAATTGGGTAACACGGAAATATGACCATGCATGGCAATGGGTGATATGAATTAGAATCTAAATACAAATTTTAGTGCCGCCCTAATTTTGATAAGGTAACCTTGTAATATGTTATAAATAAATATTTTCAGGAACCGGTTATAGATTACTTACCGAACTTTTTATTTTTTAAATAACACCACAAACATTAAATCATGGCGGATTACTTTCAAAGGACAGCAACTCAGCAAAACGTTTCGGCTCTAATCGCTATTATACGAAAACTGACGGAAAGAGCCGAAAAGTTGCAATTGGGATCGGCCATGCCCAGTGAAAAATCTTTGAACTTTGAACTTTTATTTCAAATTCTAGGCCTCTGAGAGGCATCAGAATACAACATATTAAACATGAACAAATGACGTAATACAAATTTGCTATATAACATGAACAAATGACATGATACAAATTTGCTATGACTAGATAAACAGAAAATTATCATATCAGACTAAATTTGAGAAATATCAGACAAAATTTGAGCAATATCAGACACTGAGCCATTTCTAACACATAGGAAAATTTGCTATATAACATGAACAAATGACCTGATACAAATTTGCTATGACTAGATAAACAGAAAATTATCATATCAGACTAAATTTGAGCAAAATCAGACAAAATTTGAGCAATATCAGACACTGAGCCATTTCTAACACATAGGTGATAAAAATACATGTTAGCCTTAAGAAACATAATATTATACTACACAATACTATTTACTATCAAAATGTATACATATAATCGATCCATTGGCGTTTCGGCCCTTTTCCGAGAGTCGTTTTGACCCTATAGCCTATAGCAAAGGAAGTGTTTATATTATTTTATAATATGATACAAGTGCATATATATCAATTGAGAATACAGTAGACTGATTTTTAAATTTCTTCAAAAATGCGATTTGATGTAACTATATCTTTAATTAATATAATTATATAAGTGACTATATAAGACTTATTAAGTATATAAAACCATGATGACAAATTTAGTTACTGTAATATCTCAGAAATCATAAATAATTATTGACCCAAATAAACTATTAGATAATGTGTATATAACCATATTAATATCTTATTTTATTATGAGCAGGGTAAAAATACACGCCTCGTAGTATTTAAGTAAAGATAGATAATAAATCCAAATAAAAAGTTACATATTGTTGGATAGTTTTTAATAAAGGATGCCATTTGTATTTTTTTACCTAAACGCATCCTGCAAGTCATAAAGGTTTATTGTGTCATATTTGAGTCACTGTCTGTCTGTTTGTAGTGCTTCACAAGAGATCGAGTCTGTTCGCTATCCTATTATGTGCA